GATGATGATGATGATGATGATGATGATGATGATGATGATGATGATGATGATGATGATGCTGATGCTGATGCTGATGCTGATGCTGATGATGATGATGATGATGATGATGATGATCGTTCGATGCCGATGATGGTGAGTGATCGTGGGATGGTGATGGTGATGCTGATGGTGATGATGATGATGATGAGTGGGGAGTGATGGTGATGGTGATGATGATGCGGAGGAGGAAGCAAAGAGGAGCAGAGGAGAGGGAGGAGGAGGAGGAGGAGAGATCCTGCGCGGAGGGTGTGCAGAGAAAACAAGAACCCCACTTAGGATGTGGGGAAAAACAAATACTCCAAAAAGACTCAAACATGGTGAAAAAGTACTCGAGAAATCGTCCCCCGACTATTTTTCAACTATTTTTGAATATTCCCCCTGTAGAGGGACAGGCCCGACTTAACGCTAGGTTAGAGGCCTCCGAAAAGGGGTGCGAGTAGATGGGGCTGCAGGGTCGCGCCGCATCGCCGATGCGCATCAGCTATGCATCGACAGTGCGTCGGCGGCGTCGGCGGTGCATCGGCGACTCGGACTCCATCTGGGAGACCCAGACAGGTCGCGGGGCGAACAGCCCGAACCCCCCGGGGAGGAGGAGGAGGAGGAGGAGGAGGAGGAGGAGGAGGAGGAGGAGGAGGAGGAGGAGGAGGAGGAGGAGGGAGGAGGAGGAGGAGGGGGGAGGAGGAGGGGGAGGAGGAGGAGGAGGAGGAGGGGCAGAGGTGGAGGAGGAGGAGGAGGAGAGGGGGAGGGGTGGAGGAGGAGGGGGAGGGGAGAGGAGGAGGGAGGATGAGGAGGTGGAGGAGGAGGAGGAGTGGAGGAGGAGTGAGGAGGAGGAGGAGGAGGATGAAGAGGAGGAGGAGGGGGAGGAGGAGGAGGATTGGAGGAGGAGGAGGAGGAGGAGGAGGAGGAGGAGGAGGAGGAGGCGAGTCGCGACGAAACTCACGAGGGGAGGTCTTCAGCCACTCTCGGCCGCCGGAGGCCCCTGCGGGGCATCTGGGACGATCGAACAAGACTCGGGATGAAAAGCCCGTCCTGGGGAAGGGGTCGAGATCTCCGGGCCTCCACGACGTGAAAGGCTAGCCTGCCGAAGGGCCCAACCATATGCAGCTGCGACTGCCGCGGAGGGGATGGGACGAAGGAGGGGGTCTCGACCTCCGACGTCGTGCGTGTTCTTCTTCTTCTTCTCCTCCTCCTCCTCCTCCTCCTCCTCCTCCAACTCCTCCTCCTCCTCCTCCTCCTCTGCTCCGCCTTCCGTCCGAAACATGTGAGGCGGGTGCCGGCTTGGGCGGGCGCCTGGGACGCATGTCCATGTGGACGCAGCCCCTGGGGCCTGCGGTGGGGCTCCCTGTGGGGCCGCGATCCTCGTGACGGGGTGTGCCGGAATGGGCACCTGGGACGCACGTGGACGCAGCCACTGGGGCCTTCGGTGGGTCTCCCTATGGGGCCGCGATCCTCGTGATGGGGTTTGCTGAAATCGCTGCACCAGGTGCGGAGGGCAGAGGCAGGGATGGGAGGAGGGCAGGCAGGGCGGAGGAAGGAGAAGAGGAGACGCCGGGCGCTGTCCATTCGAAACGAGGACCCAAGACCACAGGATGGTTGGGGGAAACACATCACGTCGTCCGGCGTCTGGGAGGCGGAGACGGAGCGACCGCTGGAGGATGAGGAGGAAGGGGGGGGGGCCCTTCCTTCCTTCTCCCTTCCCGCCGCTCTGTTTTTCCTCTGGGCAAAATCAAATCTGGTCTCTTGCGCTCTCTGTGCACTGTTGCGCGCTTGCTGCTATCAGCTCTGGTCTTTTGCGTTCTCAGTGCGCTGTCGCGTGCTTGCTTCTATCACCCCGGCGGTCGCTCCTGTTTTTCACGCAGCCACTGTCTGACTGACTTGCTACTTTCTTTCCCTGAGCGGGGTTGCGGGGGGAGGGATCGAAGAGACACTCTCGGGCAGAGATGCCTTCGGAAAGGGAGGTAGGGGGATGCCTGACTTGCACGCTGAACCACACGCTGAGCCACAATAGCTACGGAAGGCTGCGGATAGACGGCTTGCTGCAAACGAGTACGCCCCTTAATTTCCGTTCGACGTTGACGTGAGCCGAGGGCGCGGGCTCAGCGTCACGGAGCCGGGGCATCGGGAGAAGGGCTGAGGACTGAACGAACGCCCCCCTCCTCCTCCTCCTCCTCTTCTTCTTCCTCTTCTTCCTCCTCCTCCTCCTCTTCTTCTTCTTCTTCTTCTTCTTCCTCTTCCTCCTCCTCCTCCTCCTCCTCTTCCTCCTCCTCCTCCTCTTCCTCCTCCTCCTCCTCCTCCTCCTCCTCCTCCCCCTCCTCCTCCTCGTTTTCCTCCTTCTCCTCCCTCCTCCGCAGGCTCCTCCTGCCCCTGCTCCTCGAGCCTCGAGCTTGGGCTAGCCTCGGCGATCTCCGCCAGGACGGCCGGAGGGAGGGGCGGCGGGCCGCGCGGAGGGGCAGGGGGCCTCCGCCTCGGCCGCCGCGGCGGCCCTAGCCCGCTGCGCTCCTGGCGGGGGTCCGAAGGGGGGGGGGAACACGCTGCAGGAACAGGGAGGGAGGGAGGGAGGGAGGGAGGGAGGGAGGGAGGGAGATGGAGATGGAGGAGGAGGCAGGAGGAGGAGGAAGAGGAGGAGGGTGAGGAGGAGGAGGAGGAGGAGGAGGAGGAGGAGGAGAAGGAGGAGCAGGGGAGGAGGAGGAGGAGGAGGAGAAGGGGAGAGGAGAGGAGGAGGAGGAGGAGGATGAGGATGAGGAGGAGGAGGAGGAGGAGGAGGAGGAGGAGGAGGAGGAGGGGGACTTGGAGGAGAAGGAGGAAGGAGGGAGAGGAGGGAGGGAAGAAGGAAGGGAGGGGAGGGAGAGAGGTTCAGAGATTCAGAACCATCGCGAAGCGAGTCGACATCAAATCAGGACCTGGCCTCCCCCATCAGCCTTGCTGAGAGTTGTGGGCGTGAGTCCACGGCTGATTCAATCAAGGCGTCAAGGTACTCCTTCCCCGTCCGAGGGTGCGCATTCCTGGGTGAGGCCTCTTATCTGATGCTGGCCTAGACACCCGCAGGACTTGCAGAACCATACGTGCAGGCAGGGGCTCGTGAAACGTCATTTGGTGAGATGACTGGGCCCAACCCCCAGAGATGTAAACGGCAGCCCTGAGGAACCCAAACCAAATGACTGGTGCACCTTTCAAGTCGAAACCAGTCAAATGTTTTAAACTCCCCCATTTGCCGCCGCAACCGTGGACCCCTGGCAGACCAAACATCGCTTCCCACATTCGATTATGGAGTGGGGGGGAATTAAGCAGGGCCACCGCGGCGGGGGCAGGATGGGGGAGGCGAAGAGAGCAGGAGCAGCAGGGGTCCGTTAACAAAAAAAGCCTCCAGGGCGTTCCAGTTCGGCAGCTTCTAAGGTCGCAGTTTAAAGACGATGGCGGATTCTACAGGCGTCAGCCTCTGTGCTGTGGACTCGGTGGCGCTGGCATTCTGGTATCCTGGCGGCCGTTGCCGCTTCGCCAGCGAGCGACGGACGGCGAACGCGTCACCTTTCAATCATCCGCCTGGGAATGCCCTGGGCAGGTGGGAGGTGGGAGGGAGGAGGAGGAGGAGGAGGAGGAGGAGGAGGAGGAGGAGGAGGAGGAGGAGGAGGGAATTAAAAACTGCTATCTCGCCTGGGTTCCTAGCCTTGGATGTCAAACCCATGCTGATCTGGCGCCACAGGTCTGCGTTGGCTCCTGGCGGGTGTCGAACAACCTACCCCACCAGCCAGCACAGATGAAGAGGCCCCAGGACACACAAACAAATACACACAAATAAAAAGATCCCCCATATATTCTTATATATATATATATATATTTGGGTTTTTGTCTTCCCCCCCACTTTCCATATTTTTGCAAATTTTCCTGGGAGTCGACGATTAATTGTGTCTGTGTGTTTCTTTCCCTCCTGAACAGACACCATCATTGCCGGGAACGAAAACGTGCGGACCGAGGGAGAGCCTGACGGCGACGAGGAGCATGTATGGCTCCCCCCTGGCAACTGTCCGTTGGGCCCCAAGGAGTGGCCCGAAAAGAAACTTGACCTCGCTCGATCGCCACTTAAAGGAAGCCGCAACCCCCACGCGGCGAGATCGAGGGTCGTGGGCGTCGGGGCCTCCTCCTCCTCCTTCTCCTCCTCCTCCTCCTCCTCCTCCTCCTCCTCCTCCTCCCCCTCCTCCTTCTCCTCCTCCTCCTCCTCCTCTTCCTCCTCCTCCTCCTCCTCCTCCGGGTCGGCCACGCTCCTGCCTGGACTGGGGGGGCCTGCCCGGGTCCAGGATGCGCGGATGGGCCCCCCGAACCGAACGCGTTCTCCGTTTGCCGGCCGAAGCTGTGCCATGAAACTTACGTCGGGCGTGTCCCCCTACCGGGGGGATGCCCGACGAAAAAGATAAAAAATACCCCCAAAAAACACCCCCCAAAAGGTCAAATAGAATCCAAACATTGTCCCCAGGCCAGTTTGGGACTATTGTTGGGGTATTTTTTTTATTTCTCGTCGACAATCCCCCTGTAGGGGGACAGGCCCGACCGTGCCATGAAACTCAGATGATTAGTCAGAGGTGGCCGACTTCACACTCAACTCAGATGATTCGAGCGGGCATCGGCGGGCGAAGCTGCGTCGGGTGGCCGGCCGAGATCGAGGAGGCGGCAGCTCGGTCGAGCCCCCGTGGCACGCGGGGAGGAGGAGGAGGAGGAGGAGGAGGAGGAGGAGGAGGAGGAGGAGGAGGAGGAGCAGGAGGAGGAGGAGGAGGAGGAGGTGTCCAGCTCGGGGGCCTCGTGGCACGCGGGGCCTCGCGGCCCTCGCCCGTCGGGGTGATGGGCAGGTCTTCATAGGGCCGCCGCGTGCCGACCTTCGCGGAAGGAAGGGCCCGCCGGCACGCCGCGCGTCGACCCTGCGCGTCGGGAGGAGCCTTCTCGTCACCGACGCCCTCTTTTGATGAGAGAGAGCGCCCTCCGCCGCGTCGAGCTCGACCGCGGGGGGCGGGCCCCCCTCGGCGGCCTGGAAGATGGCCCGCGCGCCGTCGCGATCAGACATCCGCGTCTTGAAATCAGGGGGGGGGGAGGTGAAGCCAGCGCCCGAGATCGCGCGCGATCCGCAGCCTTGGAAAAAGCTCTGCCTCGAAAGCCTCGAGCCCCAGGTCGCTGGAAATTTCCGGCCAGGTAGCCCATGCCGTGGCCCCTGGGGCCCTGCTCGCACTCGCCGCAGCGCCTGCCAGCGCCTGTCCGATAGGCTGGGCCCATCGCGGGAACGTGGAGGCTGCCTGAGGTGCGCCGTTTGCCCGCTTGCGATGCCGAGCGAGCCGGGAAACGGTGGCGCGTGCTCGGGCCCGCCGGCTGGCCGCCGCTTCGAGGCGCGGCGCGTCTCGAAGGCGATCTGACTGCTGGGCCTGCCTGACAGCCGAGCGCCAGGCGTGGGCCGGCAGACCTGGGGGGGAGGGGGGAGACGCGTCTGAAGCAAGTTGGTGATGCCGCTGAAGGGCATGCTCTACTGCTGAGATCTACGCCCCGAATGCGCTTCTCTCACCGGCAGGGCGACGGCTCCCCCCCCGCATGGAGTGTAGCCGAAGTCCGCGCTGGTGAGCCAACGTCAGAGTGCGTTTGCGGCTGGGGGCCAACCTGCGCTTGGGCCAAGTGCCGCGGAGCCACGGGGATAGCGAGGGGGGGGGGCAGCATCGGCATCGGCACTGGAACTCGGATTGGGCGCGGGGTCCGAAGGCGTCGCGCTGGAGGGCGCCGCTCATTCATCTTTCGGGGGCTCTGACCTCGACAGGGCAGGATCGACCGCGGGATTCGCGCATGGCGCCCCTGCAGAACGAGAGGCCGAGTCGGACGGCGGAGCGAATTGTGGGGCGGAATTATGTTGAGGTGGGCGGGAAGAGGGGGGTGGGGAGGGTGTGAGGAGGAGGAGGATGAGGCAGGAGATTGGGAGGAGGAGGAGAGGAGGAGGAGGAGGAGGAGGAGGAGGGGGAGGAGGGAAGGGCGTGATCACACTGGGAGTCGTGTCTCGCGGTATCGGCCTCCCGCCTCAGAAACTGAGATCGCAACCCTTCGAAACATCTCGGCCCGGAGCTGTCGGCGTCACCGCGCGCGTCCGCGACGGAGAGGAGGGGGGAGGATGAGGAGAGGCAGGAGATTGAGGAGGAGGTGGAGGTATGAGGATGAGGAATGTGGATGAGGATGAGGATGATGATGGTGATGAGGAGGACGGAGGATGAGAGAGGTAGGAGGGAGGTGGCGGGAGGAGGAGGAGGATGCGCAGGAGATGAGGAGGAGGAGGAGGAGGAGGGGAGAGGAGGGAGGAGGAGGAGGAGGAGGAAGGGCGAGACTCCACAATGGCAGCTCGGCTCGCGGTTCGGCCTCCCCGCCTCAGAAACAGAGATCGCACCCTTCGAACATCTAGGGCCCCGGAGCTGTCGCCCGTCACCGCGCCGCGTCTGCGACGGAGAGGAGGGGGAGGATGAGGAGGAGGCAGGAGATTGAGGAGGAGGTGGAGGAGGAGGAGGAGGAGGAGTGAGGAGGAGGTAGGAGGATGAGGCTGAGGAAGAGGATGAGGAGGAGGAGGGGAGGAGGAGGAGGAGGAGGAAGGAGGAGGAGGAGGAGAAGGAGGAGGTGGAAGGAGGCGGAGGAGGAGGAGGAGGAGGAGGAGGAGGAGGGAGGGCGAGACCCCTCTCGGGCGAGCGCCCCCGCGGTCGACTCGGGCTGCGCGGGCGCGCGAGCCCATGGGGCCAGGCTGCCCCGCCGCCTCTGCGCGGGGCCCTCGGGGGGCGCCCCGCGCAGCTCGGGGCCGGGCCCCGTGGGCGCGCGGGGGGGGGGGGGGCGGCCTGAGGCGCGACGGCGCAATCGGTTGAAGAGGAACTGCTCGAGCCTGCGCCGGTGGGCTCTGCGCGCGCGGAGGGGGGGGGGGGGCTGAGGGCGTCGCCTCCGACCTTTTTTTTTTCTCCCCCCCCCCGGCGACCGCGCGCGCGGCGACGCGGTGGTCAAGTCTGGCGGGCTAGCTGGCAGAAGTGCAGGTGGTCGCTCCCGTCGCTGTGGGGTTGGGCGTCGCCTCCGACCTTAGAAACAAAACCGCCGCGCCCAGGATTCCCAGGGGCAGTGCCGAGAAGTCCCCGGGGGCGATCCAGGGGGGGCCAGGGGGGCCTGAAGGAGGGCCCCCAGTCGAGCGGAACGACGAAGGTTCTCGCCCCCGAAACACTCGGAGCAGAAGCCGCAACAGGTGATCAGCAGCAGGCTTTAAGCCTAGAGCTGCAGGATGACCGGGAGAAAGCAATCGCTGCGGGGAGAGCCATCGGCGCGAAGAGAGGATACCTGCTGCAGCTGCCCAGAAGGATGCGCGTGGCCCTCGCACGAGAAAATCTCACCACCTTCGCTGGCTCTCGGAGCCCCCGAGGTTGCGATGCAATGCCTGCCTGACTCACGTGCCCAAGCCAGGAAAGCCTTTTACTTACGACTACGAATCATAATCTCCCCTATTTTCCCAGTCGAGGTCGCTGCTCGAACCTGCGTAGGTCGCTGCTCGAACCTGCGTAGGATTCAGAAGAAGAAAAACAGGAACGCCCCGCTCTGTCTGAGATGCCGATGGAACTTCCAGCTCCCATGACCGAGAGTAGTGATGTTGCCGAAGGAAACCTGCACGACCGAGCTGTCCCCAACCGAAGGTTGGTTGCTAGAATATTGAGATACCGATGCTGCTCAGTCGCCGTGGCGCTGCGGGCCTCACTGGCGCTAGGCCCCGTCGACGCCGAAAAGGTAGCCAACGGAACTGGAGTAGACGCTGAAGCTGAAGGGGGGAGAGCGGATGGACTCCCAACCTGCTGAGGGCGCCTGGGCTGGACATCGGCCGCGACCCCCTGCTGGGTGGGCGGCGAAACGCAGGGGGGGAGCTGCGAGCCCGCGCTGGCCCCGCTAGGGGGGCGCGGTGGCAGTCGCGCCTGCCCCTCGCCCTCGAGCGCGCCCGCGGCGCCGCCTGCCGCGCCTCCCGGTAGCGCCGCCGCCGCTGCCGCGGCTGCCCCTGCCGCCTCCTGGGCGGCCCTCTGCTTGACCTCCCTGCTCCGCTCGACCCCGGCGAGGCCGGCGGCCTCGGATCGGCCGCCTTGGTCTCCTTCGCTGCAGCGCCTTCAGCATCGACTGGGATGCGTAGGCCTAGGCAGGCGCAGGCGAAGTGGGAGAGATGCGGTGCCCCCTGTATTCCTGGCCGCCCTGCTGCGCGTCTTCGAAGAGGCCCTCGGTGCTCACGGGCTCCGCCTCGAGCCTCTCGAGCTCGACTCTCTCGGATCTTTCGCCTTCGAGTTCGCCCGCATCGAGCTGCTGGAAGAAATCGGTGTCCCACGAGATGATGAACACCTTGCTGCCCGCCTCTGTGTCCTCCGACTTCTTAGGCTGCGCCTGCTGCTGCGCCGAGGGGTCCAGCCCGACCTCCGACGCCGACGCGTTGGCTGCCACCCGCTTGCCCAGCTGGGCGGCGGCGAGCAGCCAGATGGTCTCCCGCTCGCGCTGCCCCGCCCGCTCCAGCTGCTCATTGCAGCGAGCGACCTGGGCCATGGCCTGCTCGTGCTTCACGTTCGAATCGCGCCACGCCCCCTCCGCCCGCCGCACCGCCTCCGCTCGGGAGACGCACTCGGGCTGAGGGGCCATCTGCTGCCGCTGCTGCAAGGCTGCCGTCAGCGTGGCCCGCAAGACGGGGTCCTGGACCACGGCGATGGCCTGGGACAACACCTGTTCCTGCATGGCCTTGGTCGGCGGCAAGAACTCGTTGCGGTTCACCTGCTCGTTCTTGCCTTTGCCACCACCTGTGGCCCTGGGTTTGTGAAGCTTGACCCGACGATTGCTTCCGCTACAACGGCAACCCTGCCTCGCCAACACGTCGTTCCATTCGCGTTTGTGGCAAGTGCTCCACATCCTGAAGCCGCCGGTGCCTGCAGACATGGCTGGATATGGCTGGAAAAGGGAAAGCGGCCCGGATTCGCCACGAAGAGCGCTTGGCTAAAGTCGCGAAGGTGGCCTCGCGCCCCCCAAGCACCCACGAGGAGGGTCTGGGCGTTCGGACGGCCGTAAAATCGATCGTGCTGAGATTGCTTGAGGGGAGGGAACGAGGGAGGGAGGAGGAGGAGGAGGAGGAGGAGGAGGAGGAGGGCGAGGGGGAGGGCGAGGAGGAGAAAGAGGAGGAGGAGGAGGAGGAGGAGAGGAGGAGAAGGAGGAGGAGTACGAGAAGGAGGAGGAGGAGGACGAAGGAGGAGGAGGAGGAGGAGGAGGGAGGAGGAGCACGACGACGAGGACGAGGAGGAGGAAGGAGGGAGGGGAGGGAGGAGGAGGAGGACGACGACGAGGAGGAGGATGATGACGCGGAAGAGGAGGATGAGGAGGAGGAGGAGGACCAGGAGGGGGACGAGAGAGGGAGAGGAAGGAGGGGGAGGTGCAGAAGGAGCAACAGGCAAAAGAACGAGCCTCTGCTCCCGCTGCCTCGTCTAGTGGCAACCCACGCTGCACTAGACTACTGGCGCCAGGGGACTGGCTAAGGGCACCTCTATCCTCAATCACTTCATGCCGAGGGCCAGCCCAGGAGGAGGGGGAGGGAGGACAAACCTGGCCGACCCCGGGGCGCCATCTGCGGCTCGCGCCCACGGCGGGGCGCAACCACCCCGCGCACCAGGCACCGCGGCCCCTCACGCGGGCGTGGCCCCGCGCCGCCGCACTGGTGCGCACCCCTCGTCGACGACACGGCCCCGGAACGCCGCACTGGTGCCCGCCCCTCGTCGACGATGGTGCAATGACTGCGCCCTCCCGTCCCCAGTCGCTTCCTCACAAGCTCCTGCAAGCCAGGCCTCTCGCCGCTCGCAGCGCCCCCCCTTGAAGCGGCCGGCACCCTGTGCGCATGCCTTCCACGCGAGGGCCCCGTCTTGAAGAGGAGCTGCCTTGGATCATTCCAGCGCGTCATCGGGACTCCGAGCATGTATGATCGTGATGTTCGAGGGAGTGTCCCGCGATGTTCCCGCTTTGAACCAGAGCCGCCCCTCTGTGTGATTGTCGCAAGAGCTTCACACTTCTGGCGCCATGAACCTCGAGGGCGTCTCGAGCGAAAGCCCCACTGAGAAAAGCAGCCGCCCCCCATCGGCGCGCACGTACGTCGAGGGAGGACGACGAGGACGAGGACGAGGAACGACGAGGAGGAGCGGCGAGGAGGTGGTGGCTCCTTCCAGCTCCGCCCTGGCGGTGCTGAGCTGGCCCTGAAGCTGCACGGACGCGGCGGCGGAGGAGCTCGTGGCCTGCACGAAAAGGGGGAGCGGGGCGCAGTCGCCTCACAAGCCTCCCCTTGGCCTCGCCGCGCCTGCTCCTCCCCTCCCTCTGCTCCTCCCCCGTGCCCTTCCTCCCGTTGAGACCCCACCCTCCTCCCCCCATCACATAACTTCTCCGCTCCTCTCCCCTCATGACCTCCTCCTCCTCCTCCTCCTCCTCCTCCTCCTCCTCCTCCTCCTCCTCACCCTTGTTTCTCGAGAGCGGGGGATTGTGGAGTCGCACGCCTTTCGGAAGGTGTTGTCCCTTTCTCATTTCCCTCCTCCTCTGTCTTCCCCTTCTCGTATACCTCCTCTTCCTCCTCCTCCTCCTCCTCCTCCTCTTCCTCCTTTTCCTCTTCCTCCTCCTTTTTCCCCCAGAACCGAATTGTTTGCTGCTCCAGCCCCCCCGAAAAACAACGGAGCGGCATCCTGTTTTTTTGTTTTGGGGGGGGGGGAAGGACTCCCTACTCTCCTCCGCGTTGCCCGACTCTCCTCATTCCTCTCTCTTCCGCCCTCCTCCTCCTGCCCTCTGTCAGAATCGCGCTTGTTGGTTCTCCCCTGCCCCCCGCCCCCCCCACCCCCCCCACCCCCCAAAAAAAACGCGGCGCGGCCTCCCGTTTTTTGTTGTTGTCCGTTGTTTCCTTTTTACGTTTTTTGAGGGGGGGGGCTCCTCCTCCGCCTCCTCCTCCTCCTCCTCCTCCTCCTCGTCCTCGTCCTCCTGGCCTCAGAATCTCGTTGTTTGCTTCTTTTGCACCTCCTCCCCCAATCCATATATATATATATATATACACACAGATACAAGACTGTAGTGGCGCTTCGCGCCATGCACCTTGGTCCTTGAAGATTGGCATGCAGGCGGAATAGCAGGAAAATCAAGCCGACAATTTAGCAATAACTCCGTGTTGCCTTTTCCGGCATCGCCGCTTTGATAATGTTATTCGTTATCCTTCCTCCATGCTTCTTTTTCCTCATGTTCGCCATACCCTGCGCATTCTCCCCATCCTCCTCAGCTCTTTTTGGCGGAGGCTCCTCCTGGGAGAGCCTCGGGGGGCCTCGCAAAAGTTGTTTCAAACTTTCTCAAGGCCTTCTGGAGGCCTCCTGGGCGCATTCAGGGGGCCTCTGGGGGCTTCCTCGGGCCACCCTGTCTCCAACCGCGGTCTCCCTGAACGACCGGGTCACGAATTGGAATGTTTCGGAGGGTGCCTTGGGGCCATATTGGGCCGCCATGGGGCTCTCTGAGGGCCATCTTGGACCCGTGTTGTGCCGTTTTGGGGCTCTCTTGGACTGCCTGGAAGCCCTTCCGGATGGTTGTGGGGCGATTTTGAAGCCTCCCAGGCGGCTTCGGACGCCCAGAAGACCGCCGTCTTGGAGCGTCGGGAAGCCGAAAAGAGGAGAACCACAACATTCACCAAAAACCAACAGAAAGTCAATGATTTTTGCCTCTTGGGGCCTTCTTGGGAATGCTCTTGGAGGCCTCTTTGGGGCCGTCCTGGAGGCCTCTTGGGCCATCTTGAAGTCACGTCGGTCACTCTTGGAGCGCTCTTGTGCTGTCTTGGGGGTCTCTGAGACGTCTCCGATGACCCCCCTGATCGCCCTAGGTGTGCTGGGAAGGCTTGGCAAAACGCCCTGCGAGGCCCGGGGGGCCGCTTCGAGGCCCGACCAGAGGGTCCCACAGCCCCAGATCCCAGGAGATCGGTGTTTTTTTTTGGGGGGGGGTCCCCCCGCCCGAGCTTATAAAAAATACAGGAAGAGGAATATATATATATATATATATATATATGTGTGTGTGTGTGTGTGTAAACACGCGACGCGGCCTCCCGTTTTTTTGTTGTTCGTTTTTTTTTTCTCTGGGGGGGGGTCCTCGTATTCTCACGCGGCTCGCTTTCAACCTTCCTCTCTCCCCGCCATCTCTCCTCTCTCCCTCCTCCTCCTCCTCTTCTTCATCCTCCTGCTTCACCCGAATCAAGGCTTTTTTGTATTTGAGTTGCTTTCGAAGAAGGAAGTACCCAGTGGCGTGCATAAGTATTGGTATTGCCATGGTTGGTTATCGCAATTGGCATTGCGTTGGCATAAGCGATGGCGTGCGTGGCAAGAAGCTGCATTCGCAAGCATTGCGTTGTGGGGTCCTAATGGATCCCTCCACAGAAGGCTAGATGAACACCCTCTACCAGAAGGACTTCTATTGAAACCCTCCACAACACAAAAAAAGGTTTATATTGAAACCCTACACAGAAGGATTCCATGCGAAACCCTCCACAGAAGGATCCCTACCGAAATCTATCACCCATGCTTTCTCCCACTGGCATTGCATTGTCATGGGTATGGGATCGCCTTGGCACTAGTTTGGCATTGCGTTGGCACTGCTTTGGCATTGCGCTGGCAAGTTCTACTGCCTCCCTTCGCAGGATGATTCCTGTTGAACCCCAGACAAGAAGGATTCCGATTGAAACATTCCACAAGAAGGGTTCATGTTGAACCCCTTCAAAGCAGGATTCCATTCGAAGCCCTCCATCGAAGGAATCCTATTGAAACCGACCACAAGCGATTTCCCCCGGGCATTTCATTGGCATTGTTTTGGGGTTGCCATGGCATTGGTTTGGCATTGCGTCGGCACTGCGTTGGCATTGCGCTGGCGACTTCTAATGCCGCCCACCACAGAAGGATTCCGATGGAAACCTTCCACACGAAGGGCCCCCCGCATGAAGGGTTCAAGGCGAAACCCTCCACAGAAGGATTCTTGCCGAAACCCTCCACAAGAAGATTCAGATCGACATCCTCCGAAGAAGAATCCGTACCCAAGATTCAGATCGACATCCTCCGAAGAAGAATCCGTACCCAAATCATCCACATAAGGATTTGTTGGCATCTGTTGAACGACTAGAATCATGCCATCGACATCGCAGTGGCATTGGTTTGGTAACGGTTTGACATCGCATTGGCATTGCGTTGGCATTGCGGCGGCAGTGCGTCAGCATACGTCCACAAGAATGATGCTTACGGACCCCCCACGGTAAGTATTCACATTGCAATCCTCCGCAGAAAGGTTCCATGCGAATCCCTCCACAGATGGATTCCTATAGAAATCCTCCGAAGAAGGAAACCTAGAAAGGATTCCGTTGTGGATGACATCATCCACAGAAGGGTTCTTAGAAGGATTGCTATTGAACGCTACCACAAGCAATCCACCCCACCGGCGTTGCATTGGCATCAAGTTTGGATCGCCTTGACGTTGGTTTGGCATGGAGTTGGCACTGCTTTGGCATTACGCTGGCGAGTCCTAGTGCCTCCCTTCGCAGAACGATTCCGATTGAAACCCTCCACAAGCAAGATTCCTTTTGGAATGTATAACAAAGGATTCCCCCTTGGCATTGCATTGGCATTGTATTGGGATCGCCTTGGCATTGGTTTGGCATTACGATGGCACTGCTTCGGCATTGCGTTGGATTTGCGCTAGCGAGTCCGAATGGCTCCCTCCGCAGAAGGACTCCTACTGAACCCCCCACAAGAAGGATTCCGAGTGAAACCCTCCACGGGAGGATCCCTATCGAAACCCTCCACAAAGGCATTCCTATTGAAATCCTCCGAAGAAGGATTCGTGATGACACCGTCCACAACGGATTCTTCTTGAAATCCACCGAGCGACAGGATTCCCCCATTCACATTACATTGGCATTGGCATGGGTTGGCAATGGATTGGTATCGCATCGGCATGCATTGGCCTGGTGCAGGAGATAGACAGAGAGAGAGAGAGAGAAAACACGAGATAACGATATAACGAGAGAAGCATATTATGAGGGGATCACGGCGAACAAAAACACTACAACACACCATAAAAGTTTAAATATGAAGGAGCGCTCCACTAGATAGAAACCATATCAAAACAACGTGCGACTCCACAATCCCCCGGCCTTTCTTTCTCCTCCTGCTCCTGCTCCTGCTCCTGCTCCTCCTCCTCCTCCTCCTCCTCCTCCTCCTCCTCCTTATCCTCCTCCTCCTCCCAATATTCCTCCTCCACCTCCACCTCTACCTCCAACTCCTCCTCCACCTCCACCTCATTCTCCTCCTCCTCCTCCGCCTCCTCCTCCTCCTCTTCCTCTCTTGTTACCGCCCTGCCTCAGGACACCGCTTTGGTCCACCCCCCCCCTCATCACCTCACCTTCCCTCTCCTCTCCTCTCCCTCTCCTCTCCTCTCCTCTCTCCCTCCTCTCCTCTCCTCTCCTCTCCTCTCCTCTCCTCCCCTCCTCCTCCTGCTCTCATTATCCACCTCCTCCTCCTCCTCCTCCATCCTCCTCCTCCCCTCATCCTCCTCGCTCCGCTCCTCCTCGTCCTCGCTCGTCCTCCCGGGTCCCGCGCCCCGCGGCGCGGCGGGGGGGGGGGGGGCGCCGGCCTCCCCCAGCTCCCCCCGCAGGCGCTCGGCCTCCGCCTTCGCGGCCTCCAGCTCCGCCTTCCGCGCGCGCGCGGCGCGCGCGCGCTGCGCGGCGGGCGCGCGGCGGGCGCGCGGCGGGCGCGCGGCCGACCCTCGGCGGCGTCGCGGGTCGAGAGCTCGGTGTGGCAGCTCCTGGGGGCCTCCCGCGCCATACTCTGTGGGCTCCTGCGACGTCGACGCTGGCCGACGGTCACCGACGCGAGGGTCGACGCTGGTCAGCGCTGGATCGCAGCTGTCTCACCGATTGCCGGACGCTGCTCGGCGCTCGACGCTAGCGCACTCTGAAGGCACTATCGAGAGGGTATACCAGGCTCCCATGAATTGCTGCCGAACACGAGTGGCCTGCGGCCGAGATGTGGTCGACTGTCAGCGGGGTCGCGGCCAAGAGCAAAGAGATCATGCGAGGCGGGAGTTTAGTAACATCCACCACCGGGGGAAGCCACGTCCTGGGACCCAAGAGGGAGGCGGTTATGGACATGTTCGAGCCCCAGAGGGCCCGATTCTGCCCACATCCACCGCCCGTCGGAGCCCACGAAGATCGATCCCGCAGGCGGCGGTCATGGATACATACCCGCCTCGGAAGTCAGGAGCAGTGAGCAATGCTCTGCGCGGGGAGCTCAAATGAGTTGACCTGCCCACGCCAAGGCTGGCCCAGAAGTCTGCGCGGCCCACGCCTGCGGGCTTCCTCGACATGGGGGGGCGGGGGGAGGCGGGGGGGGGGCACCCTCACCAGCAGAACACCAGCACTGCTCCCCAACGACGGGAGATCAGGAGGAGGAGGAGGAGGAGGAGGAGGAGGAGGAGGAGGAGAAGCAGGAGGAGCAGGAGGTTCAACGATGACGATGACGGAGAACGAGGCTCCGAAGCAGGGCGGACAAAAGCAAAGGCCCCCCTCCCAGGGGCAGCAAAGGACCCAGACCCCCCCCCGCCGCTGCTTCTGCCGCTTGAAGCGGCGCGCGCACGTCTGCGCCTCAGACTCTGAGCTCCTGGCTCTCCCGACCCCTCGCGCCTCCAGCCGGCCCTCCCCCGCCCGCCGACGCCCTCGGAGGAGGAGGAGGAGGGGGAGGGGGAGGAGGGGGAGGAGGGGGAGGAGGGGGAGGAGGGTGGGAGGGGGAGGAGGGGGAGGAGGAGGAGGAGAGAGGAGGAGGATGAGGAGGAGGAGGGGATGTAGGGAGAGGAGGAGGAGAGTATAGGGAGGAGAGGTGAGGAGGAGGAGAGGACCGCCTCTCCTGCACCGACCTCTCCCCCCGCCTCCCCCACGCTACCCGCACTCTCGGCCCCTCTCTCCCCTCCCTCCCTGCGTTCACCCCCCCAGTACATCGATTCGATTCGTTCCCATGGGAGCCCCACAAAGGACACAGTGCTACCGTCCCTCGCAATGCGTCCCGCGCGCCCGTACACAGAACAGCGGGGGCTTTTCGTGGGCCCCATAAAAAAAAAAAAAAAACAGGGGGGCCCCTCCGAAGGTCCCAGTGCCCCCCCGTCCTCGGCGGCGCGCTCGTTGGAGGACAGGCAGAAAGGGGCTCCCCGACTTCGGATCCGCCGTGCTCTGGTGGGTTGCGCAGGCAGGGCGGGAACTTCTTGCCCTGCGTGATGAGGTCCTTTGATGCCGATTTCCGCCCTGCGTCGCCGTCGCTGTGTTCGCCACACCTCTGCGGAAGTATCCGCGCTACCTCTTCCTGAGGCGGACATTTGCGCCACACTGTTTCGCATCGTTGGGGGTGCATGCCCGACACAATTCCACGTCGGAAAGTCAACCAAGGTGCGGCGGATCCGACGTCAGGGCTGGCCATTTCAAACGGCGGTGGGGGCCTTTGGGGAACCCTCGGGCCTTCCGAGGAGCCGCCCGTTTTTTTCACCGAAAGACTGCACCTCCATTGAAACAGCCATTAAAACGGCAAGGCGAAGCACTTAAATTTGTACCGCGGGGCTGGCCAAAGTGAAACACTTAAATTTGTACCGCTAAACCGGCCAGCGATTCTTTCCTTCTTGTTCGGAGGCGCGGCTCCTCCCGGGCGGCACGGGCGGCTCCTCGAATTTTCCGAGGAGCCGCCCGCGCGCGTGTCCCAGGCCGCAGAAAAGGGGGCCCCAGAAGGCGTGGAGGGCTTCCGAGCAGCCCCGCCCACCGTTGCTTCCCCCGCGAGCGCGCCGTCGACGACCTCCCTCCCCATAGAGGAAAAAGAACTATGCACATACACCGATTCTGGCCAGGCCCATTCTGAGCCCAGGATCGGTGCATACGACCTCCTACCTTGGCCAGGAAGGCATATGCACCGATTCTGGGGCCCAGGATGGGCCTAGCCAGGACCGGTGCATGTGCATAGTTCTCTTCGCCCGATCCCCAGGCCCCCCGACGTCGGGACTGGCTCCTCACGTCGACCCCCAAGAGGTCTGACCCAGAGCTCGCGGGACCGGCTCCTCCTCCCGGGTCGCTTCTCCTGCGACGGCCCCGAGGACCGGCGAGGCCCCCCGCGCGAGGCGGGGGAGCTGCCCATGACCTCCTCCTCCTCCTCCTCCTCGCTCCTCCTCGCTCCTTTCCTCGCTCCTCCTCGCTCCTCGCTCCTCCTCCCTCCTCCTCCTCCTCCTCCTCCTCCTCCTCCTCCTCCTCCTCCTCTTCCTCCTCCCTCCGCCTCCTTCCTCTCCACCGCCGCCCCGCCGAGGCGCCATAACTCGCCCCCCCCCGCTCGCACACCCCCCCCCCAGCCCCCAGGCCCCAGCTGGTGGACGACTCCCCCCTCGGGCTGCCCTGATCGACGCCCGCACGCGGATAGAGGCCCCGGCGTTGGAACCTAGGAACAACAACAAAACCCCTTTTTTTCTTTTTCTCTTTCTGTCTTTTTCTTTTTCTTTTTTCTTTTTTTCTTTTTTTCTTCCATTAAAAGAGAGTAGGGAAAATAAGGCCGAGGAGGATGAGGAGGAGGAGGAGGAGGAGGAGGATAAGGATAAGGATAAGGCCCTTGGGGGTCTGGTCTTGCCGCCTACCGAAAAAGGCTTTGACCCCTGGGAAGCATACGGATGCGGGCCCACCCTTGCTTTGGGGGGGCCGCCTGAGGCGTCGGGGCCCGTCTGTGTCGACGGGGCCCCGTGCCTCGCTAGCAGGGAGACCCTGCCTCGGTTGCGGCCTGTCGACTGTTGCAGGCGATGTGGGGCTGCCTCGCTGGGCGCACCCCTCACCGCTGAGAGCCCGCCCACCACCGCTCCCCTCCTCCCACCTCTCCCCCACTCCCAGGACGGTAGAGAGGCAAAAAAGAAAAAGAGGCGGCCTGGTACTCCCTGCCCTCGGCTTACGTAGTATGTAGTGCATGGCCGCACTGGCTCATGCGTTGAGTGCTGCTGCCGAGCTCTCCCTTGTAGCGGTAGTGGGGAGAGAAAAAAAAGGGGAGGCCAGGCCTAGTGCAGTCTGCTCTCTACTACTGCTGCTGCCCTATGCCCCAGCCTGCCGCCGCTGCCGCCCTTGGCGAGGACAGCCTGATGTCCTTGCTCTGGCCTGAGCTGTCATCCTTAGTGACTGCCGAGGCGGCGGCTGGGGTGGTGCTCGAGCTGGCCTCACTGCTGAGAACCTTGCCACGGTTCTCCCAGCCCTCGAGGCTCTTGCTCGGGTTGGTGCACGGCGGCCTGCGTGGTGGCTGGAGGTAGTCCTTTATCTCCATCTGCGGCTCCAACATTAGCTCCGTCTGCAGGTCGCCATCGAAGAACGCCTCGTCGTAGGCGTAGCCGTGCGGGCCCTTCGTCCAGCGCGTGTATATGTTGTCGAGCTCGTCGTACTGGCGCCTCGTGAAGTCCAGCTCCCATGGCATCGGCCCGTGCGTGGTCTTGCCCATCTTGTCGTCGGTGATGCCGATGGCGCTCCTCATTGTGCTGATGGCGCCGTTGATGTCGCGGAGCTGCTCCTTGAGGTAGAGCTCCGCTTGGCTGCGCTCCGCCTCCTCGTGTGGGTCGAGGCTCTTCGCATTCAAGCGGCCCAGGGTGGTCACGACCCTCTCCCGCTGCTTGTGGAGCGCGTGGAGGGCCTTCTTGCTGTGCTCGGTCGCCACCTTGAACGATGCGGCCGTACTCTGGAGCGCGTTGTGCGCGATCTCGAGCCTGTACGCCGCCGTGCCCGCCACTTGGTCCGCAACTCCTCCCATGCCTCCTCTGTCGAGCGGCTTCTGCACAATCGTCGGCTGCAGATGGTCTCCTGCATCATGCTGCTTCGCCATCTCGCCCTTCTCCATGTGCGCCTGCGCCGCCATCGCCGCACTGGTCGTGCGCCCTCTGGGCGCTGGCTCTGGATGTAGGCGGGGTGGCCGCCAGCACTGGATGGGGAAAAAATAAAAAAAGTGAAGAAAAATACTAAAAAGTGAAAAAAAAAAAGCGAGAAATAAGAACAGAAAAGAAAAAAAAAAAAAAGAAAAAAATACAGACAAAAAGCAATGAAAGGAAGGGGTCGGGAAAGACAGTGGAAATGAAAAAAAAAAAGAACTAAGAAAAAAAAGAGAAAAAAAGACACAGGCAAAAAAAGAAAATACACAAAAAACGAGAAAGAAAAAAAAAATCAAATAAAAAAAAAAAAAGAATGAAGAAAAAAAAAATAAAAAAAAAAAAAAAAAAAAAAAAAAAAAACAACACGCCGCGAAGATGCTCGAGTCGCGAATGTCCTCTGGTGGTATGTCGAGCTGTATACCATTCCTCGTTACCTTAGTTGTTCCCGCCTACTGTTGTACACCTTAGATATTGTAGTCGTTTCCTTAGTTCCCAGTGGTTGGGCCGTAAGGAATCGTAGTGAGACCTTGATGTGATAGTAGGCGTAGGCACAGTGGTTCGCTGGTGTCGGAGTCCTGTGCCTTTCCTTAGTATGCAACTCTTACTCACACTATTCTCTGGATGTCGAGATAGGTAACATTTGTGATAGCTTAAGCAGGCAAGAGCTGGATGTAGCTGAGCGGGAGAGGAGAGGTCGAACCGTGGTCGGATCACAATCGCATGTCTGTGCTGGTTGATGTGGTATGGTAGTTCCCTGTGTATGCTGTCATAGTACT